AAGAGCACACACCCCATAAAAAAAAACCCCCAAAAAAAAAAAAAAAAAAAAAAAGACTTTTCAGGAAAACAGTGAGTCCTGAGGAGTCCATGGAAACGTGGGAGGGAAAATGGGTCAGGGGCCTGGCAGGAGAGGGCTGGAGAAACAGGATGATCTGGGTGTCCTCGCATGGCACTGAGGTCACCCAGGGAAGGCAGGCAGGTGGAGAGAGAAAAGGCCAAGCCCTGAGTCACACGGGTATCTCAGGAGACTGAGGAGGCAGGAGACTCAGAGTCTGGAGGGTTTCCAAGGAGGGAGAGAGTCAGAGGCTGCGGAGAGGGTGAGTGCGACCAGGACCACAGACTCCGGGAGAGGGACCGACCAGGAAGCCGTGGTGCCCTTGGCAGGGAGGGCCCAGTGGAGGAGGAGGACAGAGAAGCCAGTGGAGAAGGAGCATTGGAGCCACGCCATGGAGCCCCTGAGCTCCCAGGGGACTCCTTTGTCTCCCACGTACCACCCCAGGCCCCAGAAAGGCCCACCATGCTTTCTTCCCCCGCCCACAGCCTGGGGGTGTCAGCCTTTGTGGAAGGGAGGGAAACTGCCCTGCTGAGTGCCTGCTGTGTGCTGGGGGCTGGAGTCTGCCTCGCTCACACCTGAAGGGAGCGCTCCGGGCACCTAGGGCTTTCCCAGCTGCTCAGCAGCATGCTCAGGGCTGGGCCCTGGCCTTCCTGCCTTGCAGGCTGGACTCTTGCTCTCCTCCCTGAGGTCAGATCGGCAAGGTGGGAGGGCTGCGAGAAGGGGAGGTGGGGTGCCTGGGATGCACCCCCAAGGCCAGCGCACATAGCTGGACTGCACTCCCCATAGCCCCACACCCCATGATGCTGTGTGTGGTCACCTGACTCCTAGCGTGGCCCTCCTGTACAGCAGGGTGAGGGGCAGGCTTGGACACTGGGGAGGGGGGGTGGTGGGCAGAGACCAAGGGAACATCTGTGCCCCTGAAAGGCTTTGATGGCCACCCGGAGATGGACCCACACATGTTTTAGAGCTAAGGATGAGCACAGCGAGTCCTGAGCACAGGGCTGTGTATGCAGCTGTGTGCCCAACGGGATGGGCGTGTGATGTAGAGTGTGTGGGAGGGGTCCCGGTGGCTCAGCCTGCCCATTCCACCCCGTCTCTGCAGGAGCCGGATCTGGACCCCGAGCCCATTCTGGAGCTGCCACTGGCCAAGCTGGCCCACAAGTTGCAGACGGAACAGCTGAGTCTGGAGAGTGTCCTCTGCAGCTACTTAGAGCAGGTGGGGTCAGTGGTCAGGGCTCAAACCTAGGCTGCTGGGCTGGATTAGGTGGGTGTCACTTGTCTTTGTTCTACTTGGAGGAGTCGAGGGGTGGGTAGAACTCCGTGCTGCTGCCAGTTACCTGGGAGGGGGCCATTGCAAGTCACCTGTCCCTGCTACTCTGCTCTAAGTCTGGTCGTAGGAGGGGCTGGGGCAACTGAGTGCCTACCCCTGGCCCTGGTCTCATCCAGGCCCCTTGCCTGGTCCCTCCAATGTTGCTCAGGCTCTGAAGGTGCATCAGGAGGTGAACTGCCTGACGGATTTCCTGGAGGAATGTGAGGAGCAACTGCAGATGTTGAAGAAGCTCAAGAAGAGTGAGAGAGGCCTTCTCTACGGAGTCCCCCTGAGCCTCAAGGACCCCTATGACTGCAAAGTGAGCCCTGAGGTGTACCTGCACACGTGTATGCGACTGTGTGTGCATGTGCCACTGAACCTGTGAACATCTCATTGTGTGACAATGGGCCAGTTACGTAATCAAAACTGCATGGCTACAGACAGGCCCCACAGCGCAGTGGTTAAGTGCTGGGCTAGGAGCCAGATCGCACATGGCCGACCTTTGTTTAAATCCCAGTTCCAGCAGCTTGAGTAACACACCAGGCCCTTGTGTATGCAGGCCCCAAATCCTGACAAGATGAAGAAATGGAGGAAAAGGGACTGCAGTGTGGCCATGACACATGGGGGGGGGTGCTTTCCGCTTACTTTCTCTCTCTCTTTTTCTGGTTAGCACACGTGCCCTCCAGCAAGTAAAATGAACAAATAAAACTAAGCAAACAAACTTCACAGCTGGAAAGTGGCAACAGATTTGAACCCAGCTGCCTGGCTCCAAACTTAGCCGTCACGTCCGCCCCCAGCCTGTGAATCCTTACACCAGTGTGCCTGTGTCTTCGGGGGTGCGAGGCTGAATGTGGGTGCAGGGGTAGCTTGGGTGATTCCAGCAGACCCCCAAGGGCTGGAGGTAATGTCCCTTCCCTGCAGGGCCATGACTCTACATGTGGCCTAGCCCAGTTCCTGAAGAAACCTGCAGCCAAGGACGGGGTCATCGTGAAAGTGCTCAAGGCCCAAGGGGCGATTCCCTTTGTGAAGACCAACATCCCTCACACGCTGCTCAGGTCTCTGGAGTGGGCAGGTGGGAGGCTGGGGCTGGGCTGAGAGCCCAGACTCAGAGCAGAGTGGAAGGTGGGGTCACTCAAGCAGACGTCAAGGACGGGGTTCTTGGGTGGGTCCTTTCTGCCCTCTGGCTCTGGCCTCCCTCCTTTCTTTTTCTTTTTCCTTTCTTTCTTTCTTTCTTTTCTTTCTTTTTTTTTTTTTGAGAGGTTTTTGCTGTAAAGATGCGTGCGCTCGCCAGACAGACAGAGAGACAGAGGCAGAGACAGAAATCGAGAAATCACCCTCCAGGGGGGATGGTCACGCCGCAATCCCTTCTCCTCCATTCTCCTCTCGGGATCTTGGGCACGCACGCACACACACCTGGCGTGAGTTTAAGCCACCGGGTCCGGGACTCGAACTGCAGTCGACTACATGGGAGTCCAGCGACATAGCCATTATGCCAACTGCTGGTCACAGGCTCCCTCCTTTTAAAGTGTGGACAGACTGCATGAGTTCGAGGGGCCCATTAGGCTTGGAGGCTCTGTCCGGTCGCATCTCTGTCTGTCCCATGTCTAATTATTCCATTTCTAGCCCAGCTTCTCTCTGGTTTTTCTTGTTCCCTATTCTCTCTCCTCCCCACTCAGTCTTCAGTGTATCTGTTTTTGGGGAGGAACCTGCTCTCTGTTTAGACAGCAGAGCTGTAGGCTCCTTGGTCCTTATTTTGGTAGTCTGGTTGGTGTCTGATCATGCTCTTTTGAGCAGCAACCTGCACTCCAACTTGAAGGAGACCGAGAGACCTCAGTCCCCAGGAGTTCACGGAGCCAAAGAAAGCCTGGGATGGGGGTGGGGACTCCTGAGGGTGGATGGTCTCTATCAGGGCTGGGGGGTCTACCCCAGTTATACTCTCACCTTCCAGTTCCTTTTCTTCTGTTGCCTTTAGCTTTGATTGCAGCAACCCCATCTTTGGTCAGACCTTGAACCCCTTGAACTTGAAGAAAACAAGTGGGGGCTCCTCAGGGGGTGAAGGAGCTCTGCTGGCGAAGAGGGGCTCCATCTTGGGCATGGGCACTGACACAGGTGGCAGCATCCGCATCCCAGCCAGCTTTTGTGGTGTCTATGGCCTCCGGACCACCGGATACCGCCTCAGGTACTCACTGTCTCAGGTATGCAGGTGGTGAGGCGGGCTCAGCCCAGCCTAGAGAACTAGGGGCTGGGCCATAGAGGGGCCTCGCCCACTCATCCATTTTGATTTTTTAGAGATATTTTTGCTATAGGGCATGGGTACTCGCCAGAGAGACAGAGAGAGACAAAGAGACAGAAAGTGAGAAGTTACCCCCCAGGGGGGATGGCCACACCGCAATCCCTTCTCCTCCATTCTCCTCTCGGGATTTTGGGCATGCACGCACACATGTCTGGCACACTCATCAATTTCCAGCTGCCAGCCCAGAACTAGCAGAAGCGGAGTAACGTGGGAGGGCTTCATACAGCTCCTTCCCTAGCCACAGTTAAACGCACCGTGTTTTGTACTGGCAGCAGTGGGCTAGACCTTCCCTTCACTCATTAATTAATCCATTTATTAATTCATTTATCCATGCAGCTACCCATCCACCTACCCTTTCCCTGACTCATTTATCAATCCATCCATTTATCCCTCTATTCATCCTTCATCCAGTCAGCCCTATGCAATCACCAACCCAGTCTCTGTGCATCAATCAATTTCACCATTCATGCACTATTTAATTTATTTGATACTTTTTCATTGAGCGTCTACTCTGTGACAGACACTGTATTAGCTACTCTGGATACACTGGCTAACAAAATAGTTATTCCAGCCCTGTAAAACTTACACACATCCTTCCTTCCACCCATTTATCCATTCATTGCTCATCTATCCATCCGTCTAGCTAGCCAGTCAACCAGCTTTGCGCCCCAGTGAGTGCCCACGCTGTGGTTCCTGTACTTGGGACACAGCACGCTCAGGCCCAGCCCCCCCCCTGCTGTGCTCACACCCAAATGTCAGGAAGTGATCAGGGCCCAAAGCTTGCAGGAACTCCCAAGATGAAGCTGACATTTTGACACAGATTCACTTAAAGCTTGTGCTTTAGACTTGCAGAGGCAGGGCAAGGGGAGAGGAGGCTTCCTGGAGGAGGCAGCATTTGAGCTTGTTTGGAAGGATGGGCACGTGGAGATGGTTGGGACTCTAGAAGGCTGGAAGGCCGGAAGCAGCTAACTTGGCCGGAAGCAGTATGTTTACATGGGAGGACTAGAAGGGGCAGCGATGGAGAGTGATCTTTGAAGGGCAGTGAGGAGAGCAGATTTCATGCTGTGCGTGGAGAGAGCCATGGCAGTGTTGAAGCATCTCCCAGTCCTCTGTGCTGGGCCCTGGGGCAGTGCTTTGACTGAGTGCTCAAGTCTGCTGGCACCCAGGCCCTCTGAGTGCTGACTGGGCTCTGGGTGGGTGGGGTTTTGCAGCTATTCTGGAATTGCCTCTGCTGTCAAGGGCAAGAAATCAGGTAAGGCCCCCCCACCCACCCCCACCCGCCTGTGGCCACACCCATTTAGACAAGCCTGCTGGTCTTTCTCCCAAGGACGTTTCACTCAGTCTTCTCCAGATATATAAGCCCCCAGGTGATAAAGGTATCTGGGGGAGGGGACGAGGGCTCCCACTTGGCCTCCCCTAGTCCAGGGGGCTCTTGCCCCCTGAGAAGGGCTTGTGGCTCTGTAGATCTAATCCTCCCCCCCCACCCCTGCCACTGCTCTCTTCATGCTATACCCCAGAAGAGAGTCTTGCACTGGCCCCGAAACTGCAGGGCCGTCTGCCACCCTACCTGTCTCTGCCCTGACCCAGGACAGCAGCAGGGCATCTTCCTTTGGCCCTGATCATGGCCACTCTGAGGGATCCCCAGAGCAGAAAGAATGCAAAGTGTCGGCCTCCCTCCCCTCTGCACAGTGACCACAGTGGCCGGCCCCATGGCCCGGGACGTGGAGAGCCTGGCGCTGTGCCTGCGAGCCCTGCTGAGTGAGGACATGCACCGGCTGGACCCTACTGTACCCGCCCTGCCCTTCAGGGAGGAGGTGAGCTGGGTGGGGAAGCAGACCTGGGGGCTCCACCCTGCCGCTCCTCATTGACCTGCCTGCCATCTGACCTTGTACCCCGAAGCCTTCCATCCTCATCCCAGAATCCTCCATGGGCTGGCCTCGTAGAGCATCACGTTTTACTGCTGTGCCACCAATGGGCTCCTTCTAGGAACTTGCTGAAGACCCCTGCTATGGCTGCTGGGCTTGGAGCCCTATCTTGGCTCCAGAACCCTTTTCATAGGGCAGTTTCCATCTACCATTCAGCCAACATCCGTTCGGCCAATTCCCTCCCCTGGTCTCAGCATTATCAACCTGTGATCGTTATCTGTCCTCCTCATTTGCCCCTGTGACCTCTCCATCCTCATCCTCTCCTGATTGCTCTTTAGCTTAGGAGATTTGTGTCTAACCATCTACTTACTCACCTGCCCACCCAGTCACCTCCAACATCCATTGATCCGCCCCCCCATCACCTCCAACATCCACTCATCCGCCCACCCGTCACCTCCAACATCCACTCATCATCCGCCCACCCAGTCACCTCCAACATCCATTGATCCGCCCCCCCATCACCTCCAACATCCACTCATCCGCCCACCCGTCACCTCCAACATCCACTCATCATCCGCCCACCCAGTCACCTCCAACATCCATTGATCCGCCCCCCCATCACCTCCAACATCCACTCATCCGCCCACCCGTCACCTCCAACATCCACTCATCATCCGCCCACCCAGTCACCTCCAACATCCATTGATCCGCCCCCCCATCACCTCCAACATCCACTCATCCGCCCACCCGTCACCTCCAACATCCACTCATCATCCGCCCACCCAGTCACCTCCAACATCCATTGATCCGCCCCCCCATCACCTCCAACATCCACTCATCCGCCCACCCGTCACCTCCAACATCCACTCATCATCCGCCCACCCAGTCACCTCCAACATCCATTGATCCGCCCCCCCATCACCTCCAACATCCACTCATCCGCCCACCCGTCACCTCCAACATCCACTCATCATCCGCCCACCCAGTCACCTCCAACATCCATTGATCCGCCCCCCCATCACCTCCAACATCCACTCATCCGCCCACCCGTCACCTCCAACATCCACTCATCATCCGCCCACCCAGTCACCTCCAACATCCATTGATCCGCCCCCCCATCACCTCCAACATCCACTCATCCGCCCACCCGTCACCTCCAACATCCACTCATCATCCGCCCACCCAGTCACCTCCAACATCCATTGATCCGCCCCCCCATCACCTCCAACATCCACTCATCCGCCCACCCGTCACCTCCAACATCCACTCATCATCCGCCCACCCAGTCACCTCCAACATCCATTGATCCGCCCCCCCATCACCTCCAACATCCACTCATCCGCCCACCCGTCACCTCCAACATCCACTCATCATCCGCCCACCCAGTCACCTCCAACATCCATTGATCCGCCCCCCCATCACCTCCAACATCCACTCATCCGCCCACCCGTCACCTCCAACATCCACTCATCATCCGCCCACCCAGTCACCTCCAACATCCATTGATCCGCCCCCCCATCACCTCCAACATCCACTCATCCGCCCACCCGTCACCTCCAACATCCACTCATCATCCGCCCACCCAGTCACCTCCAACATCCATTGATCCGCCCCCCCATCACCTCCAACATCCACTCATCCGCCCACCCGTCACCTCCAACATCCACTCATCATCCGCCCACCCAGTCACCTCCAACATCCATTGATCCGCCCCCCCATCACCTCCAACATCCACTCATCCGCCCACCCGTCACCTCCAACATCCACTCATCATCCGCCCACCCAGTCACCTCCAACATCCATTGATCCGCCCCCCCATCACCTCCAACATCCACTCATCCGCCCACCCGTCACCTCCAACATCCACTCATCATCCGCCCACCCAGTCACCTCCAACATCCATTGATCCGCCCCCCCATCACCTCCAACATCCACTCATCCGCCCACCCGTCACCTCCAACATCCACTCATCATCCGCCCACCCAGTCACCTCCAACATCCATTGATCCGCCCCCCCATCACCTCCAACATCCACTCATCCGCCCACCCGTCACCTCCAACATCCACTCATCATCCGCCCACCCAGTCACCTCCAACATCCATTGATCCGCCCCCCCATCACCTCCAACATCCACTCATCCGCCCACCCAGTCACCTCCAACATCCACTCATCCGCCCACCCAGTCACCTCCAACATCCACTCACCCGCCCACCCAGTCACCTCCAACGTCCACTCATCCGCCCACCCGTGTATATACTCAACTTTCTGCCCGTTCTCCCACCCACCATCTCACTCATGAATCTCTCCCTTGCATTCATCCAATCCAGCCATCTCCCCATCCATTTCTCTTACAGGGGCTTCCTCAGAGCACCTAGAGCCTGGAGAGTATTCAGGGAACCCCCCAGGGATTCTTGGGGAGTCCCTGTGGATTCCTCCTAGGTAGAACAGCTATGGCCCTCTGCCCTGTCCTACACGTCTGGTTCCTGGAGAGGGTGAGGCCACCTTTTCCCCAGCCAGTCTCCCCTCTCAAGCCCCACCCAAACCCTTGTGCCCCCAGGTGTACTCCAGTAAGGAGCCCCTTCGAATCGGCTACTATCAATCCGATGGCTACACCCAGCCATCCCCGAGCATGGTCAGGGCTGTGCATCTCACTACCAGGCTCCTCCAGGAGGCAGGACATCAGGTAGGCTCCCCTAGCCCTTCAGGGGCGAGAGACTGGACCTGTGCTAGGACAATGGACTGGGCCATCTTCAGACAAAAAGGAGCTTGCTGAATTTGTGCTGCTGAGGTCATTGCATTCCCCTAAGCTTCCTGGAGAAGACCAATGGGAAGAGGAGGGGAGGATGAGGCCCACACTGTAAAAACGTATCAAGATTTTGAGCCTTCTTTCTGAGTGGTGGAGGCGCAGGAACTCATTCCTGTAAGTCCTTTAGCCTGGATCTCTTGCTTCCATCAAATGACTCTCTGTTGAAAATCCCACCCCTACCTCCGCTGCCCCCAGTGGCTTGTCCTGGCCCCACCTCCCCTTGAGAATTGCTGACTGGCTGCACACTGCTATGAGAGCTTGGGCCTGTCTCTTATCCTCCCCCAGTCTGTTTTCCACCATGGGATGGCCATGAAGGTTAAATGGGCTTCCATAGGCAAGGCCCCTGTGCTGGCTGGACCACAGAGACGCACAGGAGAAGCGAGGGTTGCTCCAGTCTTGCCCTATCCACGGCGTGGGGCTGAGGGAGTGGGCCTGGTAGGAGGAGGGCAGCTACACAGGCGCCCCATACCCTGCTGAGGAGCTGAGGGAGATGGCTATCACAGGTGACGTGGCTGCCCTTCCTCCAGTCCTGGGGGATGCAGAGAGGGAACAGGGCAGGTGGGAGGAGCTGCAGCCCTCACTGGGCTTCTGTCCCCACAGATGGTCCCCTTTACCATTCCTCGGATAGAGCACGCCATTCAAGACCTGTACACAGGGGGCCTGTTTGCCGATGGTGGGGCCACGCTTCTGGAGAAGCTGTACGTCTGTGAGGATTCAGGGACATAGCGTGGTGCAAACAGGGTTGGGGGAGAGTTTGGAGCCAAGCCGAGCCTCAGGAGGCGAGCTGGGGCCTGGGGTAACAAGGCAAAAGCCCTGTCTTAGGACACGCGTGTTTGGCAGGGAGGTGGTGGGAGCAGAGTGCTTCTTTGGGTCTGATCTCCTTGTGGCTTTTCTACGGAAAGGGAGTCAAGTGGGGACAGGGAGTCCAATGGCTGAAAGAGTGACTGACTTGATATGTGGCTGCTTCCTCAGAAAGGGGGACATCGTGGATCCCAGCATGAAGGGGTTAGTCAGCCTGTTCCGCCTGCCAGGCTCTCTCAAGAGTTTCTTGGCCAGTATTCTCAAGTACATAGTAAGTGTGGGTACTGAGGGAGGAATTCAGAGGGGTGGATGGCGCCAGAGGGGAAGGGGCTCTGTAGAGGGAGGGGACTGACAGAAGGAATGAGGTGGGGTCAGATAGGAGGACGAGGCCCGGAAAATGGTGGTGGCTCAGAGATGGATTCTAAAAGAGGAAGAAGAAATAAAGGAGGGACCAGCCCTTGACATAATGGCTATGTTGCCGGACTCCCGTGTAGTTGACCACAGTTCGAGTCCCAGACCCAGTGGCTTAAACTCACGCCAGGTACATATGCATGCGTGCCCAGATCCTGAGAGGAGAATGGAGGAGAGGGGATTGTGGTGTGGCCATCCCCCCTGGGGGGAGAGCGTGATTTCTCATTCTGTTTCTCTGTTTTTCTGGCAAGCGCATGCACCCTATAGCTAAAAATACTCTCAAAAGAAAAAAAAAAAAAGAAAAAAGAAAAGAAAGAAAAAAGAAAAGAAAAGAAGGGAGAGGGACAGGCACTCTTGGAGATGGGGAGGCAGCTCAGAGAGATGGAAGAGGATATAGAAGCTAATGGGGACCTTGATGAGGAGCAGACAGCTTCATGACAGTGTACTGAGAGGGACTGTCCTTCCGGGACCCTGTCCTGGGCAGGCGGCTCTTCCTCTGTGATTCCTGAAGTTGGTCTCCCCCTCTCATCTCATCTGTAGGCTCCCCGAGTGAGCCAGGGTCTTAAAGAGCTTCGTGGAGTGAGGTGAGTGAAACTTGTCAGGTCCAGCTTCTCCAGGGCTATCCTTGGGGTGGTGGGAACTGTGGGAAGGGCCCATGGCAGGAGGGTCATAGCGTTAGTGACCATGACAGGAGAGTCTATTTGTACTCTGATGAGGGTGTTAGGGCCATACCCTACGCTAGGGTGAAATTTAGCCTTTCAATTGGTATTGAGATTGGAGTTGATCTGGAGTTAAGATCTGCACTGAGGCTAGAAGGGACTAAGCTGAGGTAAACATGGGGCTGAAGTTGAGATAAAGTTTAGGCGTGGGTCGAGCTGAGGACTGAGGCATCTTAGCTGTGGGACAAGACACGGGGCCACTCCTAGCCCATCTGCTGACTTGTGGCCTGCACTGGGGCCAGACCTTACCTTTGGGTGTCATATCCTAGGGAACCTTTCTGTGCTAACCTTTGAACTTCTCAGCATCTTCCTCATTCCCCCAGGACACCGAAGAGACTGTGGGAGCAACACACAGCAGTGGAGGTGACACATGTCTGGGAGGACCTGAAAGGGAACTGGGACAGCAGGGACCTGGGCAGTGACCTAATCAGCCAAATAGGGGCGTCTCTCTCTCTGGCCTGTAGGGTAGGCCCAGCTGGACCTGGATGGGGAGGTTTGGTGACCTGAGAGGTTAATCTTGTCCATGTCCCTAAAGCCAGAATGACTCATTGTCCCCAAATCATTGCAGCTTGAGATTCTTCTTCCCTACCCCACACGTCGACCCCTGGGAAGACCCTGACCCTCCCCAGGTATCCCAGTCTGCAGCTTGTGGGCCGGGAATTCTCCCTGTTGCCTAGCCCAGCTCTATATGGCAGTCTGTCACCTTCTCTGGCAAACAGTAACCTCTGGTGGGCCTACCCCTGCCCCCACTGTCCCTGCAGAAATACCAGCAAGAATTCATAGCCAAGTGGAGGTCCCTGGACCTGGATGTGCTTCTGGCACCAGCTCTGGGCCCTGCCTTCTACATAAGCTTTCCTGCCAAAGCATCAGGTGAGAGGGCACTGGCTTCTGGTGGGCTTCAGTTCGAGAGTTCAGGACCCCTGAGTCCACCACAGCCTCTGTGCCTTGACCTCTGTCTCCATTTACTGTTTACATTTTTTCCTTGAGAGAAACATCAGATACATAGATTCACCATTTTAAAGTGTAAAATTCAGCGGTTTTCAGTCTTTCAGAATATCATGCAACTACCACCACTATCTAATTCCAGAATATTTCTATCACCCTGAAAAAAACCCTTGTACCTGTTAGCAATCAATTCCCATTCATTTTTTTAAAAAGTGTATTTTGGGCCAACAGATGGCATAGTGGTTAGGGTGGTGGATCCCACATGGCTGACTCTGAGGTTCAAATCCCAGACTTGGTGGCTTGAAAATACAATAGGCATGTGGGCATATGTATCCAAAAATCTTGAGAGAAGAATGTAAGAGAAGGGATTGCAGTGTGGTCATCCCCAAGCCCCCCTGGGGTGGGGGTGGTTTCTCTCTCTCTCTCTGGCAAGTGTACACTCCCTATAGCAAAAACAACACCAACAATGAGAAATCTATTTCTTCCATGAGTGACAGAGGGACAGCACCCCCAACAGGGTCTTGGCACTGCGATCCCCTCGCAGCCTCAGCAGCCCAGGTTGTGGGCACGTCTGTTCCCAGCAGACACAGGGCTCTGGATGTGAACCAGTAATCTTCTCTAGTGGTCCACTCACAAAGCACCTCACTGCTGCCGTGCCACCATCTCATCCCTCCATTCACTTTTCTCTTTCTTTCCTTAAAAAATTTGCTAGAGGGCATGTGTGCCTGATGATGAGAGAGAGAGAGAGAGAGGGAGGGAGAGAGAGAAAGTGAGAGAGCACCCCCCATGGGGCACGGCCACACCGTTCTCAATTTCTCTTTTCAGGATTTTGGGTACACATGCACACATGCCTGGCATGTTTTTCAAGTTGCCAGGTCCAGGACTCAAACCACCTGGTCAGCCATGTGGGATCCAGTTGCCTTAACCATCATGCCCTTGGTTGGCTCACCCATTTATTAACATGCTCTCTGCTGCCCTCACATCAAAAGGTGTCTTTGGCCCAGTGCAGAGTCTAGGTCCTCCCTGGGTCCTGTCCACAGGTGCTGATCTCAGGGGCTGCTCAGTGCAGGATGAAACCAACTTTCAACTCAAAGCCTCGACTCCTCTCCCTTGATCTTAAGAACATGTCCCCTGGGCCAGCAGATGGCATGCAAATTGGGGCAGCTGGGTCCCCTATGCCTGACTGTGCAATTTGAGTCCTGGACCCAGCAGCTTGAGAACCATGTTGGGAGCATGTGTGTGAATGCCCCAAATCCTGAGAGGAGGATGGAGAAGGGATTGCAGCATGGCCCTCCCCCCTGTCTCTCACTGGTGAGTGCATGTGCCTCATCACAAAACTTAAAAAAAAGAAAAAAAAAAGACATCCCCCATCCCCACCCCATAGGGGCTAGGCAAAGGCACACCCCACGCCTGCTGGCCCTACACAGGGCTGCACTGCACAGGAAGGCACCAGCTGAACCTTCGGCCACGTCTAGCTGTGCAGCCACCTTGCCTGGCTGCCGCCTTGATTCGTACCCGGTTTGCAGGGCACAAGGGTGCACAACGGGGGTACCGATTCAGGGAATCAGCAATGCAGAGAGGTCGGTCAGAACAGTGCCAGCATTAAGGTGTCCACAAAGCTGGGTTACTCCTTCCCCTCTACCCGGGGAGAGCTGGAGGCTCTTCTCAGGACAAGTCCTGGCACCCGACCCACCTGTCCAGGGCCAGAGGGCTGCAGTTCCCAGAAGGGGTGGGAGGGGGCGCCCACCTACATTCCTTCCGTCTGAGTCTGTGGGACTGATGATCTCCCTGGTTTATCTGATAATCTCCTGGGTTTATCTGAATCTTCCTGCAGAGAGCTCGTCCTACATGTCCCTGTACAACGTCCTGAACTTCCCTGTGGGCGTGGTGCCTGTCACCACCGTGACACCACAGGATGAGGAGGAGCTGGCCTTCTACAAGGGCTACTACGGAGATAATACTGACCAGAATTTCCGTGAGGTCAGTGTCCTTCGCCATACCTCTCCTGTCGGGGTGCAAACCAGGGCTGATTCTCGCCTGCCTCAGTTCAGGGTGGTGGTGGCAGGGGCAGGTCAGTCATTCCTAGTGTTTACCTTTTATCACTTTGGCCACCGTGTTACCTCAACCCTGAGGGCACACCATCTTACCCCTCCTGCCAGCCCTGACCTTGTCAGGGAAGAAGGCTTTGCAAAACCAGCTGTCGACTGGGCACTTGTGTAGAGAAAGTGAATCCCAGCGGCAGGGAGAGTGGAGCAAGCAAAAGCCCCTGGGCCAGAGCTCACTGGGTACCTGGGCTGGGCATTGCCATTCTCAGGGTCTCGGTATCTCCTCCAGGAAAACATAGGCTTATGCTAAAGGTTAAATAAAATAAAGAGAGTGAAGCAATTAGTGCGAGGCCTTATGGATAGGGAGTGTTCAATAAATGCTACTAATTCGGAAGTGGTTTCATAAAAGGAATTATTCCCATGGGCCTATTTAACTGCAGTGTCTAAAATCACACCACCGTCTTTGGCAAAAGAAAGAGAAGGAAAGAGAAAGGCTTGAATGCATGCATGCATCGGAGTCGGATGTGAAGTGACTTCCTTTTCCTGGAAATTGATTTTAGTGCTAGGATTCCCCAGTAGAAGGGCAGGCCTGAAGTAACAGTGATGACACAATGTCACGTGTCTTAAGCTCTTACTCTGTTCCAGGAGCTGTTAAAAATACTATGTATATATTACATCATTAAAGCCCATCACTGTCCCACAAGGTGTTACAAATGAGGCACTGAAGATAGGGACAGATTAAAGGACTAAAGCCACACAGCCAGTTGAAGTGGAGGAGCCAGGACCTAAAGCCAGGCGATCTGGTTGCAGAGACGGAGGCAAACAAGGGCTTATAGGATCTCATCGTCATAAAGCAATGAAACATGTTTGAATTCCTACAAGTGTGTGTGGATTTCACAGCGGACTCAGGCTTGGCCTCCATGTTCCTGGGGCCAAGGCAATGCTTTCACTGCAGGAGTGTAACCAGGCTCTGGGCCTTCTCTCCCTTGTGGAAACAGTGCCTCGATGCTCGGTTTTACACTACACCCTTACAGTCCGCATTCTTAACCTTGGAGAACTATAGGCAAAATCAGGACAGTTTTTTCGGGTTTCACCCAGAGCTGGGGAAACCTTGAACTCAGAGATCCAGAATTTCTTTATGTCACGATAGGTTGGGGATGAGATACGCTTAAGGCATAAACTAGGCCTGTCCTTGGTACAGAGACCCAGAACGGCATGGAGAGAAGGGCAGGGCAAGGGCCTGTGTGAGGAGGCAGGCTCTGAGTTCCTGTACCCTCTGCCCGCAGGCGGTAAAAGGATCCGTGGCACTTCCGGTGGCTGTGCAGTGTGTGGCCTTGCCTTGGGAAGAGGAGCTGTGTCTCCGGTTCATGAAGGAGGTGGAGACCTTGGTCAAGAACCACAAGGGGGACTAGCAGATGGCATAATGGTTACATTGCTGGTCTCCCACGTGGTCAACCATGGTTTGAGTCCTGGACCCAATGGATTCAAACTCACACTGGGCATGTGCCCAAAATCCTGAGGAGAATGGAGAAAAAGGGAATGTGGCATGGCCATCTTTCTGGGGCAGTGTGATTTCTCGCTTTCTGTTTCTCTCTGTCTCTGGCTCTCTGGTGGGCATACCTGCCCTATAAGAAAAAAAAATTCTTTTAAAAATAAAAAAGGGAATCCAAGTTACAAGCCACTATTCCTGGAGACCTTCCTAGATCCTCATCCAAGTCAGCTCCTGATGCCCCATCCTTCTCATGAGTACTGTATCTTGTGTCCCCTCCCACAGGAAATCCACCAGATTCCTGTTCTTTGTGGTACCTCTGTGTGGATGCTCAGTATACCCCAGATTAGTCCTAGGTGGGTAGGCGGGGAGGGCTCAATAAACATGTTCTGACTGGCTGGCCAGCCTGGCGACTGCTAGTCTGTGTGTGGGGGGAGTGTCGCCTTGCGATGACCTCTATTCCAGCTTCTCTCTACCACGTCACCTGCCAGATACTGTTCCAGAAGGAAAGGAACAGAAAACACTGCCCCAGAAGGGAAACTGACAGGACCCCAAACTGAGAGGCTTGAGCCCTGCATCCAAGCCCTGATCCTGCCACTGGCTTACTGTGCCATGTTGGGATGCACTGCCCCTCTCTGGACTTCAGTTTTCTGACCTGCAGATAGAGAGGGTTAGATTTGATGAGGTCCATGGTCCATTCTGTGAGCTGCGATTCTTAGGCACTTCCCTGATCAAGAGCTTGCCATGGCTCCCACTGATGTCTAGAGAAAGTTCCAGAGAGGAAGGCCAAGGCTGTGGAACCCAGTCTGAGCAGATCCTGGATTAGCCTTCCTTGATCCCTCCATCCCCTCGCCATGGTCTCCCCTTCATCTGAGCTCCCTTGAGGCCCTCCCTCACCAAAACTTTCCCATTCCCTGTCCCATTCCTCTTCGCAGCCCTACTTCTGGTCCAAAAACCAAGCTAAAGAACTCATGCCTCCCTATGCTTGATTAAAGACCTGGTGATAATGTCTCAATCCACCATCCTGCTGAGTACCTTCTGAACACAAATGGTGGCATTTCGGGCAGAAAAAGGCCACAGTTAAAAGACTTTAACTGCAATGAAGATCCTGGAGTCACACCAGAGGGGCAGCCTTTTCTCTGCCTACCATTGAAGGAGCCATTCAGGTCGTCCAGGTGCAGGGTCACCAGGGCTGTTGCTAATCTCCCTGTGGCTTCCCCTGTCTCCAATACCAACACAGAGTTTTAGATCCCTGATGGAACAAGAGCCTCAGGGCTTGGAGGGTTCCTGCCCTATTCTCCCTGCCGGTAAGATAAAGGCCTAAGAGGCTTGGAAAGAGTAGGAGGTGGAAAGGGTCTCTACCTCCTGTGCCGCTGCTTCCTGCGTTTCACGCAGACTGCAACAGTCTGGGCACCAGGGGGCAGCGTTGAGCTTCACACAGCCCAGGCAGCCATTGCAGTTTTTTCGGGTTTCACCCAGAGCTGGGGAAACCTTGAACTCAGAGATCCAGAATTTCTTTATGTCACGATAGGTTGGGGATGAGATACGCTTAAGGCATAAACTAGGCCTGTCCTTGGTACAGAGACCCAGAACGGCATGGAGAGAAGGGCAGGGCAAGGGCCTGTGTGAGGAGGCAGGCTCTGAGTTCCTGTACCCTCTGCCCGCAGGCGGTAAAAGGATCCGTGGCACTTCCGGTGGCTGTGCAGTGTGTGGCCTTGCCTTGGGAAGAGGAGCTGTGTCTCCGGTTCATGAAGGAGGTGGAGACCTTGGTCAAGAACCACAAGGGGGACTAGCAGATGGCATAATGGTTACATTGCTGGTCTCCCACGTGGTCAACCATGGTTTGAGTCCTGGACCCAATGGATTCAAACTCACACTGGGCATGTGCCCAAAATCCTGAGGAGAATGGAGAAAAAGGGAATGTGGCATGGCCATCTTTCTGGGGCAGTGTGATTTCTCGCTTTCTGTTTCTCTCTGTCTCTGGCTCTCTGGTGGGCATACCTGCCCTATAAGAAAAAAAAATTCTTTTAAAAATAAAAAAGGGAATCCAAGTTACAAGCCACTATTCCTGGAGACCTTCCTAGATCCTCATCCAAGTCAGCTCCTGATGCCCCATCCTTCTCATGAGTACTGTATCTTGTGTCCCCTCCCACAGGAAATCCACCAGATTCCTGTTCTTTGTGGTACCTCTGTGTGGATGCTCAGTATACCCCAGATTAGTCCTAGGTGGGTAGGCGGGGAGGGCTCAATAAACATGTTCTGACTGGCTGGCCAGCCTGGCGACTGCTAGTCTGTGTGTGGGGGGAGTGTCGCCTTGCGATGACCTCTATTCCAGCTTCTCTCTACCACGTCACCTGCCAGATACTGTTCCAGAAGGAAAGGAACAGAAAACACTGCCCCAGAAGGGAAACTGACAGGACCCCAAACTGAGAGGCTTGAGCCCTGCATCCAAGCCCTGATCCTGCCACTGGCTTACTGTGCCATGTTGGGATGCACTGCCCCTCTCTGGACTTCAGTTTTCTGACCTGCAGATAGAGAGGGTTAGATTTGATGAGGTCCATGGTCCATTCTGTGAGCTGCGATTCTTAGGCACTTCCCTGATCAAGAGCTTGCCATGGCTCCCACTGATGTCTAGAGAAAGTTCCAGAGAGGAAGGCCAAGGCTGTGGAACCCAGTCTGAGCAGATCCTGGATTAGCCTTCCTTGATCCCTCCATCCCCTCGCCATGGTCTCCCCTTCATCTGAGCTCCCTTGAGGCCCTCCCTCACCAAAACTTTCCCATTCCCTGTCCCATTCCTCTTCGCAGCCCTACTTCTGGTCCAAAAACCAAGCTAAAGAACTCATGCCTCCCTATGCTTGATTAAAGACCTGGTGATAATGTCTCAATCCACCATCCTGCTGAGTACCTTCTGAACACAAATGGTGGCATTTCGGGCAGAAAAAGGCCACAGTTAAAAGACTTTAACTGCAATGAAGATCCTGGAGTCACACCAGAGGGGCAGCCTTTTCTCTGCCTACCATTGAAGGAGCCATTCGGGTCGTCCAGGTGCAGGGTCACCAGGGCTGTTGCTAATCTCCCTGTGGCTTCCCCTGTCTCCAATACCAACACAGAGTTTTAGATCCCTGATGGAACAAGAGCCTCAGGGCTTGGAGGGTTCCTGCCCTATTCTCCCTGCCGGTAAGATAAAGGCCTAAGAGGCTTGGAAAGAGTAGGAGGTGGAAAGGGTCTCTACCTCCTGTGCCGCTGCTTCCTGCGTTTCACGCAGACTGCAACAGTCTGGGCACCAGGGGGCAGCGTTGAGCTTCACACAGCCCAGGCAGCCATTGCCTTACCCATCATACCCACTGCCGCACTACTGTCCGGAGTACCCAGGTTCTCTGTCCAAACTCCATTGCACAGATGGGGAACGTAGCGCGTGGAGGAACAGAGATAGGAGGGGGACAGGAACAGTCCACGTGCTTTGGCTTTGTGTTAAATATTTGTAGATTTTAAGACATAGGAGATGGAATTCTACTTTTGGCTGAAATTAGCCCGAGAAAGGAGGGTGGCAGATACCAACTCAAGGGGCTGAGTAAATGGGAAGCCCCATCCTGGGGCTGGACTTCCCTTTGGGCTGCGCTTTCTCCAGTATGTCTTGAGTGATATTTGGGGTCAACAGCCTCCTTCCTCCCCATCCCTAGTTCCAACTCAGATCCGGGGCTGACCCCTTGCTTCTTGCACTGCCTGCCAGCGCCATCTGCAACCTGGTGAGTCCCTCACCTTCTCAGAGCCCTCTCAGTGGGAGTCTTTCTGAGCTTGTGTGTGGGTGCCTAGGGGCCTCCCTGGAACAGGGCATTATCTCTCCCCTACCCACTCCTATTACTTCTGCCATGAAGGCTTGATCTGAGCACAAACTTTCGGCCTCTGGCTCTGCTTCTTTTGCAGGCCTATCTGCTTCTCCAAACCTGTTTCTTCATCTGTAAAATGGAGCTGAAGGTCACATCTGCCCAACCTTAGGATCAGTCAGACCAACAGAAGGCGAAGGAGCAGGCTTGGGAGTTGCTATGGAGTGAGGCATGCTCAGGTCTGGGAGTCCGCACCCAGAATTCTCAGGGAAGAGCCAGTCCCTCACCAAGGTGCCTGTGAGAGATGCAGGGTGGGTGACTCCAGCGGAGGCATTCAGCTCAGAAACAAAATTTCCCAGGCTGAGAGATGGTTCTGTGAAGGCTGAGCCTGAGGCCCCACACTAGGGTCCTTTGGGAAGGGAGGCCTTGAGTTTTGGCCTTTTTAATTAAAACAGAATTTTTTTTTTAGAGGGGTATTTTTGCAATTAGGGCACGTGTGTTCTCCAGAGAGACAGACAGACAGAAAGCGAGAAATCACCTCCCAGGGGGCATGGCCTTGCCACCATCACTTTTCCATTCTCCTCTCTGGATTTTGGGCAGAGTTTTGGTCTCCTTTCTGTTGGTTTTTCTTTTTAATTAAAACAGAATTTTTTTTTTTAGAGGGGTATTTTTGCAATTAGGGCACGTGTGTTCTCCAGAGAGACAGACAGACAGAAAGCGAGAAATCACCTCCCAGGGGGCATGGCCTTGCCACCATCACTTTTCCATTCTCCTCTCTGGATTTTGGGCACACATGCACATGTGCCCAGAGTTTCAAGTCTGGGACTGGAACAGCGCTCAACCACGTGGGAGTCCAGCTCCTAACCACTGTCACCTACTGGCCTCGAGGTTTTACTTTTTATTTTTTGCTATAGGATCTGTGCTCTGGCCAGACAGGCAGAAATGGGGAGGGGAGGTGGGTAGTGAGAAAGCCAAAGCGAACAGCCATCCTCAATTCCTTCTCCTACAATGTCCTCTTGGGATTTGGGGCACGTGTGCACAAGCTCCACCTGTTTTTCAAGCCACAGGGTCGGGACTTCAGCCTCACAGTCAGCCTAGTGAGACCTTAACTTCCACTCCATCTGTTGGCCCTGGTCTTCT